TCTCCTTGGATGTCGTGGATAGCGTTCCTCCGCCCAGTGCGATCACAGGAAATAAAGTCAGTGTACGAGGGCTCAATCTCCATTACTTCGCTTGCATTTCCAAATGCATAGGAATCCCTGTGGGGAAGAGACAGTGCTGAGGTGAGGGGTCCTCAGAGAAACCTTGCTACATCCTCTTCTGAGCGCCTCAGGTTAAATGATCACATGGAGTTTAACTGCGGCATGGAAAAAAAACAGTTCTGGTTAATTTTGCTTTGGGCCATCTAATACCAGCCACTAGATTTGCAGGAGAACACCCTTTGTTGTGTGAAAGGGCATCTCTAGTAACACTGACCTGTGTCTGGTGAGTGGGGCCAGACAATAAAGATCAGTCTCTTATCAGCACCCCTGTGTGTCCGGCCATTATTACACTCTCTGCAGTTGGAAGCAAAGAAGATGAGGCGCTTGACTGTCCCTTTTTAGCCCTCTCCTTTAGGAGTTAACATAATGAGAAATGGCTGCGCCCTTTTCTGCAGAAAAAGCTTTATCTTTGCTGTTTCCAGCTACATTCTTATAAGGATAGTCAGTGGCGCCTGGGGGGAGGGGAGGACCTTCTGCAGTGGGTTGTGCACAGAGATGTCCTTTGGATGAAATTCACTACAGTGCTGCTGCCCTGTTATCTTCCACACCAGTCTATTTGGAACAGGTCTGGAGTCCCCACCTCCACCACCTGGCTGCTTCACCCATGGCCCCGTCTGCCCAGCTCCACTTATAGGGTTGAAGTGGTGCAGCAGTCATCATGCTGGGGGTGAATTTCACCTGAAAAACCTGTCTGTGCGCACCACACAACAGAAGACTTGCGACTCAGCTGTGTTTGCTCTGATGGGTATGGAACAGATAGCAGCAAAGAGAAAGTCCTGCTAGCATTTGGTCTAATGTCAGAGCAAGGCATGTGAGGACAGCAGGTTTCATCCTGAGTCTGCAGAGGGAATGGAAACTGGTTTAGTTTTAATGACTTGAGCTCCAATGTTACCGAACCCTGTCCCTAACTTTCCTCTGTTCCTAAAAAACATCATGGGATCTTTGATCCTAGGCCAGATTCAGCTCTTGCACTCAGTGGAGTTCTGCCTGTGTATGCCATGGCTGAATTTGGACCCACAAATTGTCAGGGTGTCTGCTTTCTATCTCCTCTGAAAGGCCCTTGGAGCAGGCAGTGCTAGGTCCTTGAGTCCATACTGATCTCAGCTGACATTTGTTTGTCAGTTTCATTTTGCAATGTATATAATGAAGTGTTCATTTAAACTGCTGGGCGATAAGGAATTAAAGGTGTGGAATTCAAACCTTCCATGATCTTTCTGGGACATTTGACTCTGGGGCTTATTTCTGTGCTCAGCTTCTGAGAACTATTTAGAACGGCCAGATCTTCTCAGCCATGTCAATAACTCCAGGAGCCAGCTCCTTCTCTGGTGTGCTTTGTATTTAAGTTGCTCCTTTTCATTTGAGTTGACTGTAACTTGCCAGCGTTTGTACAGCACACCCTGTCCAGAGACTTTGTCAGGCTCTGAGACCATGGAAAAAACACACTGTCTTTAAGCACGGAGCTCGCTGTGAAATTCACTTAGAATTCTGCCTTTGCTCTGGAACTCTGGCACTCTTGATTCCTGTTCATGCTTACTAGGCATTTATTTGGTTTATCTGCATGCAGGTAAGAGACTATTAGTTATTTCTCTCTCTGATTCTGAGCCACTGAAAGCAACGGCTTTAACTTAGCTGACGCTGCAAATGCTGTGAGCGGGGTCCTGATTACCAGTGCCTTGCTCACTTAAGCTAAAAATCAGTTCCTCAGCACCCACCTGTTTCTATGACTTGTGGTTAAATGCCCCTAAGGTGAAGCTCCGTGTGAGGCGGAAAATGATTTAGTTCCCTCACAGACTATGCTCAGCACTGAATTTTCGAGCTGCCAAAGATGCCACATTCAGATGG